AGTTAACCTCCAACGGGGCACTGAAATAGACCCCTAGCTAGAATCTCTACCTTTCGTATTCTGTCACCAGCTGTTTTTCTAAAGCACAGATCTCAACAAGATCTCTCTCCCTTCTAAAATCCTTCAGTAGCTCATCCTGCATAAGAATAAAACTCAAAATCATCAGCCTGATTAAATCATTATAAATATTTGCTATTCTCTGGGACCGGCAGGAGGTGTGGTAGTTAAGGTGCTGGACACTCCCACATGGCTGACCATGGTTCAAATCCTAGACCTGGTGGTTCGCTTTCTTACTTTTCTCTTTCTCTCTGTGTATCTCTCTCTGGTCAAATAAAATGAATGAATGAATGAATAAAATAATTCTTAAAATAAATAAATAAATAAATATTTGCTATTCTCAAACATTTCCCACCTACTTATATCGCTTCAGGTTGTTCCTTCTATCCACAACAGTCCTTCAGAGCCCAGTCAAATGCTACCTCTCAGATTTCTTCATGTGTCAAAAGAATTCTTTTTCTAGTCTCTCACTGTTCTGTTTAAGTGTAGATGCAAAAGCTGTCATTCTATAACATTATCTCATCAGTGAAAGGAGAAGGAATCAATAAGCTAATGAACAAATGAGGTTCAAGTAACCAATTAGAGGCAATCTGAAAATAGAAAGCTGAAATCTCTTAGCTCTAAAAACTAAAACTACATGAGGACTAGCAGAAGGCATAATGGTAACGTCTTTGCCCACATAGTTGACAACTGTTCGAGTCCCAGACCCAGCTGCTTGAAACTCACACAGGATGTGTGTACATGCATTTCCAAAATCCCAAGCGAATGAAAAAGAGACTGAAGCATAGTCATACCCCCCAGGGTGATTTCTCCCTTTTTGTCTCTCTAGTAAGCACACACGCCTTACAGCAAAAATCTCTCAAAAAATAAAAAAGCACAATTTTATGAAAAACCTTAACATAAATAAACATACTATAAACTCTCAGAAAATAAAACATTTTAACAAAAGGAAAAATCTACAAAAACACAGGTAGGAAAGAGGGAAACAGCAAGACTCTGGTATGTTCAAGTCTACCTGGGATCTGAACTTCGCACCTTCCCATATGGCTATCTGGTATTGAGCAGCAGTGCCCTACCACTGTGACAACATAGCAAGACCACACACCAACTTTTAAATTGTAATTTAATTTCCAGGTAAATTTTTAAAGTGTATCCTGCCCTTCTAGCAGTTATCTTTCTGGCTGTAAATACTCCAAAATACAGAGCTTTTTGTTTCCTTTAAGTTTTGCTATGGGGTCCATGCACTGGCTGGAGAAACACTGAGAGGAAAAATGCGAAATCACCCTCCAGCAGAGATGGCCACAACACAATCCCTTCTCTGTTCTCCCAGGAGTTTGAGCATGTAGACGCATACACCTGGCGTGATTTTCAAGTGACCAGGTCCAGGACTCGAACAATGAAGTTGGCCATGTGGGATCCAGCTGTCTTAACCTCCATCTCGCTTGCTGGCCCTAACGCTGTTTTTTTAAAAAAATTATGCGAACAGGGATTAGCTTCATCAAAATCATCAGATTAACCTCCTAACACAAACAACTGTAACCCTAGCAAAGTATAATGCCACCCTGTAGGCTCTGTAGTCTTTCTCCTCTAATTTCGACATCACCTCAAAAGGTTGCCTTTATTTAGGGGGGTGGGGGCTATAGGATGCATGCGCTTGCCAGAGAAAGTGAGAAAGCAACCCTAGGGGGAATGGCCACTTCATAATCCTTTCTCCTCCCTTCTCTCTGGATGTATACATATGCACCCAGCATGTGTTTCACTCGCTCGCTCTCTCTCTCTTCCCCCACCCCCCAGTAATGTGCTTACATACACTCTCCAGTTTAAAAAAAAAAAAGTTTTGACCCAATGGAACACAGTGGCATCCCTTTAATACAGTAGGAAAGTGATTAAAACTTAAGTGTTTTAAGCAATTTTATGCAGGAGAAAGTGTAGCACAGTAAGGTTTTATAATTGGTTTATGGGTTCAAATGAATTTCATCAATTATTGACCTAGACATTATACTAAATGAAATTGAGAGAAGTTAATGGCTTCATTTATCACAGAGTTGCAACACTGGAGCCAGAACCTAACTTTCCTGAGTTCCCTAACTACTTGTTTCAATTTAACACACTACATCTTTCAGAATGTTTGAATTATATCTACATAGACAAATGTACAAAATGTTTTAATTATTATTTTAAATAAGAAAATTTAGGGGTGAGCCTGTAATCTAGTGATTAAATTAAGGGAGCCAGATTCCACGGTTGACTGTAGTTCGAATTTCTGGCCCTGGCAGCTTGAAAAAACACTCGGCTCATGTGAGCTCGGCCACATGAGTGTCTAAAATCGCAGAAGGCTAGAAAAATGGAAAAGGGGTTAGAGCATGACTATACCCAATGGGGCGGTGCTTTCTTCCTCTTCCTCTCTTTAGTAAGCACATATGCCCTCTAAGCAATTTGCAAAAACAAAGGAGGAGGGAAGAAAACGTAGGAGGCCTACAAAGAATCTGAGGTAGAGGCAGCAGGGTGTCACTCTGCAATGCTAGAGCCACTCAGAAGACCATGGTTCAGACACCACGCAGACCAAGACAAGTGCACGCACTCGTGATCCTGGCTGGCTGGGGGCAGGTGTAGTGGAGGAAGCACTGTGTGACAGGATCCTGTCGAGGGTACCTGTTTTTCTCTCAACAGAGTCAATGGGCTTTGAAAAACACAATACATAACTAGTTTTTCTTAAAATAACTCTAGGCAATATGAAAAGAAAAATAATCTGGGCCTTTTAATCAGGTCAAAGACTTTGTATCCTATAAATTTTAAATATGCCACACCTAATTTTGGATATTTTTTTGGGGGGGGAGAGGTTTTTGCTATAGGTCGTGTGCGCTCACTGACAGACAGAGAGAGACAGAGAGACAGAAAGCGAGAAATCACCTCCCAGGGGGGATGACCACGCCACAATCCCTTCTCCTCCATTCTCCTCTCGGGATCTTGGGCATGCACGCACACGCGCCTGGCATTAGTTTTAAGCCACCGGGTCCAGGACACGAACCGCTGTCGACCACGTGTGAGTCCAGCGACACAGCCATTACGCCAACTGCTGGTCCCAATTTTGGATTTTTTTTTTTTTTTTTGGAGAAATTTTTACTATAGGGCGCATGTGTTTGCTGGAGAAACAGAGAAAGTGAGAAACAGCCTCCCAGGGGGACGGCCACATCACAATTCCTTCTCCTCTCAAGATTCTGTGTCCAACTTGAGTTTCAAGCCACCAGGTCCGGGACATAAACCGCAGTCAACCATGTGGGAGTTCAGTGCCTTAACCACCACGCCACTTGCTGGCAGCTGCAGTATCTAAATTTAAAATGAGGTTATCAGGCCCTGCGGTAAAGGGAGCCAGATCCCATATGGCTGACTGCTGTTCGAATCCTAGCCCCAGCAGCATAAGGAATACATTCAGCATGCGTAGGTTTATGCCCAGAAGTCTGACAGAACAGAGAAATAAAGAAGGAACTGTGGTGCAACTACATACACCCTTTGGGTGATTCTCTCTCTCTCTGGCATGCATACACATTCTCTGAAATTTTTTATTTAAGAATTATTTTATTTACTATTATTATTTAATTTGGCCAGAGAGAGACAGAGAAGGAAAGGAGAAAGAAAGCCACCAGGTCTTGGACTCGAATCGCAGTTGGTCACGTAAGAGTCCAGCACCCCAACCGCCATGCCACCTGCCGGTCCCCTTCTGGAAATTAAAAAAAAAAAAAAAGAATAAGAAACAAACAAACAAACAAAAAGACTAGGACATCTGGGATAACAATAACTATGAACAGGAAATGTCTGAAGACCAGCAGTACGTGAAACAGTGATAACGAGCTAGCAATCATTAAGGGTAGTATTTACTGAACGTGCACTAGTTGTCAAGGCATCAATGTACTGGTATTACTTCCCATGCAGTGCTCATTTTAATCCTCGCAATAACTTTATAAGGTAAGGTTTGTATAAAAGATGTGGAAGCTAAGGCTTAGAGGGCATATGTAAACCTGTCCAAGAGTACTAAAAGTAATCTCTCATCTACCTAGACCTGTGATTTCACAAAACCTATGTATCTAACTTCTAAACTAGATCTCCTTGCTAAAGAATATCTTTAATTTATTATTTTCATCTAAAAAATTTCATAACTAATGAAATTAATTTGTTTAGCCCAAAGGAAATGTAACGTTACAATTTACTTTTTTTTGAGAGGTTTTTGCCATAGGGAGCATGTGCTCCTCAGAAAGACAGAGAGACAGAAAGTGAGAAATCACCCCCCCAGTGGGGATGGCCACACCACAATCCCTTCTCCGCCATTCTCCTCTCGGGATCTTGGCCACGCACGCACGCACACGCACATGCCTGGCGTCAAACCGTGGTCGACTACATGGGAGTCCTGCGACATAGTCATTATGCCATCTGCTGGTCCCACAATCTACATAGTTTAAAAAAGCTTTTTACTCGAGTTTAATAACTGGCTAACACCTTGACATTCACTTAATCAATGCTATCAACAATATATACTTCACCAATACATATTTAACCCAACAGCTTTCACAAATGGTCAAACAAAATAAGAGAAATTAGTATACATCCAAGAAATTAGAACCTTTAAAGAGATATCACATTTTCAGTGTCACAAGATTTGCCTCATATAGCTAGCCACCTCTTCCTTTTTAGCAATCTAATTTTAATATTGAGCATATGAAAGATAAAACAGTACTTGCAAATCAACACTTAGTTTCAGGAACTTGTCAGAATAGTTAATTCAATGGCCACATGCTTATCAAAGTTTCTTTACTCATTGTATATATATGATCCAACATTACTATTTTTAAAAAATATTACTATGCTAAACATGATGACCATAAATCACCAAGAATCTGTAAGAATATATTGCACAACTCATCAGTTATGACAAAAGGCTGTTAACCTACCTGTCACTGCTGGTACTGCTGCTGCTGCTGATTGAATCACTACTGGAGGATCTACTTCTAGAGCCGCTGCCACTAGGGGATCGTGTGGGTCTAGACGCTTGGCTAGCCAGTCTCTGAGGAGACTGATTTCTAGACTGGGATGAATGTGGTGACCGACTCCTGCTGTGCTGGTAATTCCGCTCTGGCCTTCTGCCTCGTACCTCCCGGGTAATATCATCCCTGTAGATATCCCTGTGTACCACACTGGGCAGTGTAAACTGCTCCCGAGCCCTAGGTTCGTATCGGGGGTCATGAGCATCAAAGCGGTTTGGACTTCGACTCCGAGAAGTATAATAGAGCCCATGCTGTAAAGTCCGCTCTCGAGGATCTCTATAGTAATCCTGATCGTAATGTCTTGTCCGATCAAATCCTCCCGTCCCCCGTTCATGGTGTCCATAGGCACTATGTTCATAAGCACGCTCCCTGTTATCTGAAGCCCTGCATTTAGGAGGGGGAAAAAATATTCAATCAGAAAGGAGCAAGCAAAACTAAAAGCAAGTCATGCAAACATTCACTTTAGCATTCTCTTTGTCTTCACAAGAGGTCATTTTCTAAACAGCATTAACTTACTTAGTAAGCAAACATTAACAAGCATATTTTACTTGACTCCAACAATTATTTTCACAACTGAGCAATCATAGTTTTAACTGTATATTGGGCTTTCATGATTAGTGTTCTGCAGGTCAGTTGTTCATTTTATTAGAAATTTTCAAACTTGTATACAGAAATGTACATATATGACCTTTTCAATTTAAGTTTAATGGAATAAGAAGAGACAATCATCTTTAACATGAAAGTTTTTACACTTTCATCTGATTAACATACACCAAATTTTTATTAACTTGCAAATTTATTTCAAGCCACATCTCCACATTCCATTTTATTTAACACAAGACATGAAAGCCCTGCTGCAGTGCACGTCCCACAGGAAGGACTGTCAAGAGTCCAGAAAAAATGTGCGAGTGCAACTTTTCCTCATTAACTTCTGACTACTTTGGTAATTATAAAAAAATTACTAGACTACCTAAATTGCTATGTCCAAACACTTAGATTTTAATAAAAATGGAATCACTAAAGAAAAAGCAAACCACTTAGGCTATCAAAATACTGGGCTACCACGTTATCCTATATAAATTTAGCTAAGAATAAAATTTTATCTACTTCTGCTGTCAAATTCAACAAAATTTTAAAATGTGTATTGTACAATTCCATTTTTTAATGTATATACATAAGGGTTCTAGGAGACACTATGATCTCTTAGCTTTTAGCTATAGTTAAGTTGCCTGTAATGAAATTAGGCAATGATGGGAACTGTAAAACACTCTAAGTGCCTTACTCAATGCCTTTAACTTTAAAAAATATTTCAGTAGTATGTAAACCATTTGTCAACCTAAGAGTACAAAAAAGTACTGTATGTAATATTATAAATATACAATTCTGTGTTAACATTAAAAGCTAATTCAAATCCTACGAAGACATTTTTTACTTTTATAGGGAGTTAGAACTTAGTTCCTGATTTCCTGAAAGACCATTTCACTTGAGTTTCTTTTCAACATCATCTTTAGATCTAGCTTGTATAGAAAGGGATAAAAGAATTACAAAAAATAAAGAATTAGATTCTCTCCAATGAAGGATACCTGACAAAATCTTCTAATAACTAATATTATATCTCTAATACATACCTAGATTTCAAATCTCTCCAAATCTAACATTTTACTTTTCACTCATCATTTCACTTAGTAGCAACCCCACCTTCCTATGCTACCTCTACCTTTGCTTTTTTTCTGCTATTATGAAAAGCAACTGCATGGAAAAAAAAAACCTCAGTAACGTCTTCACTACTTAAATGTATTAAATGAATTTCTCCATTTGTATGTGCTATTATGAAATTTAAATATTTCAATGTCTAACACATGATAGTTTTTTTAGACTTAAGAGAAAATTTCACAAACAATTTGTTTAGCACCCTATCAAATGTTAATCAGTAAAAGCCATTATTAATGACATAAAAGAAGCAATAGGCAAAAGTTCTAGGAGAATTACTGCTACAGCTGATATTTTATAAATATGCAAAGTTCTTAACCATTAGGAAGATACAGAATGCAGGCACAAGAGCTAGCAGAGCTGAAATCTAATGGCTATTCTTTGATTCATCTATTAGTACTAAATACTTCTAGAGTTAGTGGGGGAAAAGAGAGAATTTGATTTGGGTTAGGAGAGGGGCTAATATACACAGGTCAGGACATACCAACCTTTTCCAAGTGTGGAAACACGACCTATAATCCCAATTAAATCTAGGGAGAGAATTGTGAACATAACTTCCCCAATTTTGGCCCCTCTTATGGGGGTAATCCACCTTCTTAATGGGCAAGGGTGTCAAATGATACTTAGATGAACCACAAGGGAAAAAAAAAAATCTTAGTGACCAGACAAAATAATTCCACTGGAAGCAAGTAGTCCCAGACAAACTGTAACTCTCAATCAAACCCCCAGACTTCTTTCTTGAGATAGTAGACAATTATATATTGATCCACATTCATAAAAATGTCCAGCCCTAAGTAAGAAACAGGCAGCTGGCAGAAGAGAAAATATCCTCTACAATTCCAACAAAAGAGGAAGGCACAATTGCTCGCCAATAGTTCACATTTATAGCCATCCAGCCCAGTCAATCAGGTATCTTGATTGCTGTATCCACAACTGATCACCACCATGTGTTCAAAGCTAAAGTACTTTCAACTGGACAGGAACGTGCTTAGTAAAGGAGATAGTAATCCTTTTCCCCTGGGCTAATGGAGTCTGGACAGCGTGACATCCCATACATTCCAGCAATTAGAAAAGAATGGCTATATTCCAGGATTTCGGAACATCCATCACCTCAATTCCCCCATTCCATCAGGAGTATAATTCCAATGACAGAAGTTGTGTAAGATCCGAAATGGAAAAATCAAGCATTATCTTCTTTCTTCTTCATCCAAGTACACATTTCCATGCTAAAGTATTGTTTGTAGAATCCAAGTGGTCGATCTTTACGGTCTGCTAGAATTTTCTGTGCCAATCCAATTCGTTTGTACACTTTATGTAGTACAAAATGGAGAAGCAGATACCAACTTCTAACAGAATCTGTATGGAGGCTCTACTACTCCGGAAATATTCCACAGTATGACCACAACAGCTGCAGGCAAATAACTCCATCAGGTAGACAGGATATATCCAAGGAACATTAACATTATCCAAAGAAGGAATAATTAATTCTAGAAGACAGGTAACTCCAAAAATGATGCTGCCATAGGAAATCTTCCACCACTTTCACAGCTCAGGAGTTGATATCCAATCAGCTGCAGGAAATATCCTCTACGATTCCATAAGATACCAGCCACTGGGATAGAAATCACTTCCGTTTCCAACCCAAAATAGGAAACATTGAGTATGCCCAAAACTTTAAATCCTTCTGGGGCCCCTAAATATGAGTTTCTGTTTCTCACCATATCAAATACAAAATACCTGCCTACAGAAACCTTGGAACTTACCCATCAAGTCTCCGCTCATAACGTCCTTCTCGTGCATGAAGTGATGGTGGGGGGCCATAAGCAGGCCCTCCACCACCTCCTCTGAACCCAGAAACCTCTCTACTACGAGATGCTATGGAAACTGTATCATCCAATCCCCGAGCAGCACTCGGAATGGTGCCTGGTTCATTATAATCCGTGCGTAGGTCTCTATCACCCATTTTGTTGACAGAGTTGTGAGCTTTCTGTGCACTTTTGATGTCCACAAAATCCACAAAGGCAGCCACTCCTCCTTCAGATCCCCTCTTGGGGAGAATTTTGACACTTTCCACTCGGCCATATCTGAAAAAAAATAAAGTCAATGTTATTGTTACATGTCAATAATTTTCCAAATAAGCTTTAAAAATGTTTTTAGATAATTTACATTATGCATATATAGCAGAGAAGCTGCAAAGTTAACTTCTAAATTAGTTCTCTTTCACACATTTTTATCTCTGAGGCAAATATTTATACCACACCATCTTATTATTATTCCCATCTCTTAAATACAAAATTCACTCAACTATTCTTGTATTTTCTACAACACATAGTTGAAATGAATCTCTCAAAAATTTTCAGAACTTTTTACACTCTAAAAAAAGTTAGTTATTGTTGTTGTTTATCCAGAGGGCATGTTCACTTCCCAGAGACAGAAAGAGAGAGTGGAAGAAAGAACCCCCACAAAGGTGTATGGTCCCATCACAATCCCTTCTCCATTCCTCCATTTTGTTGGGATATGACATGCACACACATACTTTCAGTGTGTTTTTCAAGCCACTGGGGCCAGGACTCAAACTGTACAGTCAGCCATGCAAGATAATCTCCAGGCCTTGGGGACATCCCTTTAAAAAGATTATTAAACTGGGAACCAGCAGTTAGCGTAATGGCTATGTCGCTGGACTCCCACGTAGTCGACCGCGGTTCGTGTCCTGGACCCGGTGGCTTAGAACTCATGCCGGGCACGTGGGTGTGCGTACCCAGGATCCCGAGAGGAGAATGGAGGAGATGGGATTGCGGTGTGGCCATACCCCCTGGGGGGTGATTTCTCACTTTCCGTCTCTCTGTCTCTCTCTGTCTGGCGAGCGCACGCTCCCTATAGTGAAAACCTCTTCAAAAAAAAAAAAAAAAGATTATTAAACAGAAGATAGAGTCAACGTAATTTCAAAGTATTTTTTTTTGGGGGGGAGAGATATTTGCTGAAAGACAGAGAGGGAGAGACAGAGGGGCAGAAAACAAGAAAGCACTCCCCAGAGGGATGGACACACTGCAATTCCTTCTCCATTCTCCTCTGGGGATCTCGGGCACGCACGCACATGCACCTGGCATGAGTTTAAGTCTAGACCTGAACCACAGTCGACTACATGGGAGTCCAGCAACATAGCCATTACACCATCTGCTGGTCCCAGCAACTGCAAAGTCTTAAGAAACTTGTATTAAAGGGGGCTGGCAGGTGGCATAGGGGTTAAGGGCACTGGACTCCCACAGAGCCGACTGTGGTTCGAGTTCCAGACCTGGAGGCTTACTTTCTCACTTTCCTTCTTTCTCTCTCTTACTCTGTCCCTCTCTCAAATTAAAATAAATAAAGTTAAACAATATAATTCTTTTTTAAAAAAAGGAAAAGAAAATAAACTTGTATTAAAGGATCAGCAGATTATGTAATGGTTACATTGCTAGACTCTCATGTAGCCAACCATGGTTCGAGTCCTGGACCCAGTGGCTTAAAACTCACACAGGGCACGTGTATGTGTGATCCCAAGAGGAGAAGGGATTGTGGTGTGGTCATCCCTCCTGCAGTATGATTTCTCCCTCTCTGACTCATCTCTCTGGTGAACACACATGCCCTATAGCAAAAATCTCTCTCAAAAAAAAATTTTTTTTCTTATTAAAATAAAAACTATGACTATACACAGCTATTTTTACAGGTTTGATTTTGTGTGACACTCGTATTTTAAAAAATACAAGGGACCAGCAGTTAGCGTAATGGCTATGTTGCTGGACTCCCATGTAGTTGACCGCGGTTCGAGTCCTGGACCCGGTGGCTTAAACTCATGCCAGGCACGAGGAGAATGGACTAGAAGGGATTGTAGTGTGGCCATCTCCCCTGGGGGGTGATTTCTCACTTTCTGTCTCTCTCTCTCTCTGTCTGGAGAGCACACGCGCCCTATAGCAAAAACCTCTCCAAAAAAAGGAAAAGAAAACGAATAATTTGTGTATCTATTTGCTAAGTCTAATATTTAAATGTAATCTTTTGTTACTTAATTTTCCTTTTTTAAGCAGTTAAAAGAAAATTGTTAAATTTTATGTTAGTTAAAATTAAAATTGCTTTTCATATAATTTAATAAATCTTAGAAAATCTTATGCTAGATCATATATTCCCATTTTTATTCCCCAAAAATGTGCAGTATGTCTGTAAAGAAACTTTCAAGACATCTTTTATATTTTAAAGCAAATATGTAAGAAATAAAAATTTTAAACACTAAAAATATTTATGAAAACTCCAAATTTTATTAGGAATTACTAATTGTATTGTATACACTAGTATTTTGACATTTCAGAAAGGGAGGCATAAGCACTTTTAAATATAGAACTTTTATTTGCTGACAATCCACAATCATAATTTTACACTTTCCCTGAAAAGGTGATATTATCAGAAAGTAGAGCTTTTTTTTGTCTCCTACTATGATTTCATTAACCGATTCTTACAAAGAAAACAATCTTAAAATCCAGTCTCATTAGGAAACTGGAATGGATTTTAACACTAGATAGTAACAAGAGGATAGTAACTAATAGACAGTAACAAATTTACTTAAATTAACTGATTTAAAAAAAAACTTTTAACTCAGAGGAAAACTGAAAGAAACTGAAATAATTCTTTCCATAGAAACACACACCAGGGAACCAGCAGTTAGCGGAATGGCTGTGTCGCTGGACTCCCAAGTAGTCAACCGCGGTTTGCATCCCGGACCCGGTGGCTTAAAACACACACCGGGCGCGTGTGCGTGTGTGCCCAAGATCCCGAGAGGAGAATGGAGGAGAAGGGACTGCGGCGTGACCATCCCCCCTGGGGGGTGATTTCTCACTTTCTGTCTCTATGTCTGTCTATCTGGCGAGCGCACGCACCCTAAAGCAAAAAGCCTCTCCAAAAAAAAAAAAAAGAAAAAGAAAAAAAGAAATACACACCAAAAAAACCTTCTAACGTATTTAACAACAAAAAAACAAACCTTGTATCTAGAATACAAACAAATCTTACTACTCAAGTCTTTTTTTTTTGGGGGGGGGGGCGGTTCGCTATAGGGCGTGTGCGCTCGCCAGACAGAGAGAGAGAGACATAGAGACAGAAAGCGAGAAATCACCCCCCAGGGGGGATGGTCACGCCGCAATCCCTTCTCCTCCATTGTCCTCTCGGGATCTTGGGCACGCACGCACACGCGCCCGGCGTGAGTTTTAAGCCACTGGGTCCGGGACGCGAACCATCGTCGACTACGTGGGAGTCCAGAGACATAGCCATTACACTAACTGCTGGTTCCCGACTACTCAAGTCATTTTTTAACACTGTGCATTCACCAGAAAGGACAAATAAAAAAAAAGTGGGGAACTACCCCACCATGGGGAATGGTCACGCACAATCCCTTCTCTATTTCTCCCTCCTGTGAGGATTTTGGGCATGCACATGAAAACCCAGGCGGGTGGTGTGTTTCCCAAGCTGCCGTGGTCCAGGACTCAAACCACACATTTGGCCATGTGGGATCCAGTCGTACACTCACCAGAGAGAGACAGAGAGGGAAAATCAGAAATCATCCCCTAGAGGAATGTCCTCCATTCTTCTCTTGTGATTTTGGGCACACACACACAAAGCATGATTTTTCAAGCTACCGGGTCCGGGACTCAAACCATAATCAACCAGTACCTTCACCACATCACCTGCTGCCCCCTTCAATCCATTTGTAAATATTGCCAAAACACTACTAAATACACAGATGGCAGACAAGTACATGAAAAGATGCCCAACGTCATTAGTCATTAATAAAATGCAAATCAAAACCACAAAAGAGCCCAACTTCAATGTCACAGATTACTAAAACACAGCAGGACAAGAACACAGGTTCAATTCCCCATGCAACCTAATGGCATGCCACAATGCTGCATGCCTATAATCTTAGCCACTAAGGAGGATAAGCAGAAGGATAGAGTTTGAGGCTGTACTGGGGTACCATAACAAAATCCTGCCTAAAAAAAGAGCTGAGCACCAGCTGCAGTGGCACAGCAGTGACACAGGCGTTAGGGCAATGCTCTCAGACACAGAGGCAACATGAGAGGGTTCCAAGTTCATGACCCTAGGTCTCCTTCTGCATGTTGGACCTGCAAACTGGGATCAGCCAAATGGGAGTCCAGCATCTTAACCACAATACCATTTGCTGGACCCCATTGGTTTATTTTTGTTTAAAACCATAGAGTGCATACGCTATCTGGAGAGAGAGAGGCAGAGAGAAGGAAAGTGAGAAATCACCCCCCCAGGGAGGATGACAACACCACAATCCCTTTTCCTCCATTCTCCTCTCATGACTTTGGGCACTCACTCACACATGCCCAGAGTTATTTTTAAGCTGCAGGATCTGGGACTTGAACTGTGGTCAGCTATGTGGGAGTCAGTGCCTTAATCACCACACCATCTCCTGACCTTGGTGTTTGGGTTTTTGGACACATATCTGTTTGAAACCTTGTTTCTATTTTTGTTTGTTTGTTTGTTTGTTTGTTATGTGCCTGGGATTGGAATTGATGGGTTTTATGGAAATTTTATGATTTTTGAGAAATTGGCAAATTTTTTCACAATGCATACACAACTGTACACTTTTAGAGGCTACACTGAGGATTTAAATCTCTCTGCATCTTTGCTATGACTTGTTATTTTCTTTTTTTCCTGCTTGCTTTAGGGTTTGGAAAAAAGTCATCCTGGTGTGAAACTGTATCCTATTTATCCTACTGTGTGTTAGTCTTTATTTTTATTTTTTAAGACAAAGTCTCACTTTTGTGATCTTTCTGCTTCAGGTTTCCAGCTATAGGAACTAGGTTCTTTATTTTTAAAAAACCTTTAAACTAAAAGATTAAAAACCCAAATGCCCAAGGTCAGGAGATGGTGTGGTGATTAAGGCACTGACTCCCACATAGCTGACCACAGTTCAAGTCCCAGATCCTGCAGCTTAAAAATAACTCTGGGCATGTGTGAGTGAGTGCCTAAAGTCATGAGAGGAGAATGGAGGAAAAGGGATTGTGATGTTGTCATCCTCCCCAGGGGGGTGGGGGGT